GTCGCAAGAGCCCTGAACTGATTCTCCCAAGACATGAATCAGGGAATCAAATTATGGTACTTCATAGAAATTTAGTGAACTTATGAGAAATTCCGTAAATGGTGAGGGGCAAGAAACATGATGATGAAATCATTTTTTCAACAATATGTCTGACACAGAAACTGAAGACAAAGAGTGATTGTGTATCCATTTAAACAGATGTTACTATTTATATTGTCTACACATCACCATGTGGCACTTATGCCATGTAGGACAACAAAATGGAAAGACACAAAACGGGATCATGTAGAACATCAAAATAGATCAGTACAAAAGTAGGGTCAATTAATCTGAAATTTTTAAAAAAAAAGGGTTATTGAATAATTCCGGCTGTGATAAGGTTAATAAATAGAGATCTGTATTCATTCAAAGTGCCATCTGTGATGAAGTCCACTCAAAAATGCTTAGAACAACATTTATCAATGACATGGAGGTAAGTTAGCTAGTAAATAAATATTGGTGTACATTTGTACTAACCTCTGTGCTGAAGGTTAAATCGTAACCAAGTTCTTTAACGTCATGTTCAAGAAGAAACACCAAACCCTGATAAAAAGCATAATCTTCACTCTCCATATCTATGTACCTAGTAAAAAAAAATAAGCACATTTATATTTTTTGTTCCACTCATTTGTACTAAAATATTTGAAACAATGATATTAATTCAGCCAAAATTAAAGCTGATATTTTAATAGTCATATTTTTTTCAGTATTATATTTTGTGGATATTGTCCAATCATTGTACAATTCACTTCTGTTTCGATAACCAGCAACAAATTTGCTGAGAGAGGTCAACATATAATACTTATATATGTAATATCAAAGTTATCTGACTTAAAAAAAGTCGAAAATATAATTTTTTTACCAAAAATGACAAAAATATTCACCAAAAATAGAGAATTTGAGATTTTGAGATGAAATGAACAAATCTGAGAAAGAAACATCCAAGGTACTTGCAAATCAAATTTGAAAAACATTCTGACTTGCGATTTCAAAGAAGAAGTTAAAATTGTAAAGTTGACGACAACGGACAATAATATGAACAGCACCATCGTGTCGACTTTGCGGAGCAAAAAAATAGTCATAAATAATTTTAGACTCAACAAATAGTTTGGTTTGTTATTTTCACAAATAAAGGCACACCAGAATGTGATCACAAGTTTGTTACCTGTGTTTTATGTTTAAATGCATTCCTTGTAAATTATTAATTCTACTCTGTAGTTGTCTCTGGTGGTAAACAAAATTGTCTACACAGTCAATCGCAACTAGAGAATTTTATTCTAATCATGAGTACATAGGTTGGTTGTGATGTCTGATATTCACCATGGCCAGGTGTGCATGACATGGCAACTCAAACCATTGTTTTCCTCTTTTTTTAACACTGAGTCTAGCATGATAATTTCATCTGCATGCAGGGGAAGGTACTTGCTGTACAAGTTTGAATCTTGTGTTTTATAGAAGTGAGCATTTGAAAGCAAAAGCAAGAGAGTAAAAAGAAATTTGTTGGCGTGCATTTTTGCTTGTGAAACTGGCATCACAACAAGATCACAACTTTCAGTGTTTTTGATGACACAAATAAAGATATTTTACAACTATGACCTGATACAAATAAAATATGAGATGCAACAATGGAAAAGCCATTTATATATATTAGAGACTAAAAACGCATTAGGTCATTTGACAAAGTGATCTGTAGTGCATGTCACCAGCAGGTTTGGTAAGAAAAGCATGTTTCAATTATAATACAAAATTGAAACATCAAAGTGATCAGTGTTTCTATTAATGACCTTGCATATTCCTACAGTTTGAATCCTGATATTGCAAAATTATTGAAAGCTATGTAGATCTGTAAGATCTGCTTTCAGCTGTATGTATAATTGTATTAAAAAAAAAGGTGACCAAATTGAACAAGCAGCCTCTCGGCTGAGATAGCTCTGCTGTTAGCAATGCACATTTCAATTAAAGAACAGAAGATATCATTAGAAAATGAACAATATGTATAGTATCAAAGCAATGGGACTTGCTGTTTTCAACAAGAATTCAAAAATATCATTTTTCACCATAAATGATTGTGGTTTTTAACAAGAAGAAAAGGTCACTTTTTACCAAAAATGATAAAAATATTCATCAAAATTAGAGAATTTAAAATATCATGAAATAAACAAATTTGAGAGTGGTCCACATGTAGTATCTATATATGTAATATCAAAGCAATTGGACTTGCAGTTTTTAACAAGAAGACGAAAATATCACTTTTTACCAAAAATGACAAAAATATTCACCAAAATTAGAGAATTAAAGATATCATTGACACGGACGACGACGGACGGACAATCACACGGCAAATGTGATATCCCAGAGTTCAATGCGTTTTGTACCATCCAATATACACTTTATCTCCGCACGAGGGCGCAATTTCAAATTGAAAGAAAAACTAGCATACACGCTATTACCATTCTATGACCTCAATTGACCCACCAGCCTCATTCCCAACTTGATACTGGAATTCTCATTTTTTTGATGTATTTAAAGTTTT